GAATGACTCACACAAGGATCTGCTGGGTTCCCATCGTGCCTTGGCACAGGGAAATCACTGAGCCTGAAAATCCCCTATTCTAGGCAAATTCTCTGGCCGCTGGTTGTTGGCTGTCCAGACCAAGTCTGTAAGGTGACAAGCCAACACGTCGGCGGGGACACAAGTCCCTTGCTGTAGGGAACCTACAGCCAGCCCCAGCCGTAATGAAGGTTGGCCATTTCCAAGTATGCTGGGATGAACATCAGCACTTGAGCTGCCTTCAGTTCCTCCCCGGGCACTGCAGCCTGGTTGATTTTTAAGGGACAAACTTTTTTTGAGTTTTGCTCACTTGCACATATTTGCCAGAGGACAGAAGTGATATTGAAGGTTCATACTCCCCAAAACATGCATGTAGACAACTGCATATTGATTTCCTGGAAATTGCTAGAGCAGCAAAATTTAAGTTGAGTTCACTTGTGCAGGCCAAAAGGAAGTGCTGATTTCTCAAGCTAACCTCCCCTGGCTTCTCTTCCCCTTCTCCCTCTCCATAAATGTGTGAAGTATTGGGTTTTTTCTAGCCTTTCAACTACGTAAATACTGTTGCGTGGCCAATATGCAACCAATTATAGAGGGAGCAGATGCTTTTCACAGAAACGCAACAAACGCTCTTCTTTTTTTGTCCTTTGCCTTAAAGGTAATTTTTATCTTGTGATGATTTCATGTTCAAGTCTTTTGTATTTCTGTGTTGCAGAGATTGTCCTCTTAAGGGGACATGTTTCAAACGTGCAGGGGAGGAAGAATATAAATTAGTCTGATATAGGTGGATAAACAAATTGGCTGTGGTGACCCGGCTACCCGCGCTCCTCCGGCCATTCAGACAGAGGAAGTGGCTTGCTGGCAGAGCCGTGCCGTTGTCGGTGCGGTGGCTGGCATGCAGCAGGCTTGCAGTGGCTGCGACTGCGATTTGTTTGTTTTACATCTGACGTGCTGCTGCAATCAGAAGGACTTCACGTGCCTTTGGCCGTAAGCGGCTCAGCCCCTGGGGATCGATCCCCGCAAGCGGTGGCAGAGCCATTCCATTTCCAAGCATAATCTTCCTTCCAAAAAAAAAAAAAGGTGCATCATCCAATACCTTAATCTTACCACATGGCTGGGTGAGCTTCAGCCTTTTGTAAAGGGTTTCCCCTTTACCATTGCCAGTGATAACACGAGTCCCAGCTGCAAGTGTAGCCCTTTGGGAAGCCTCACCCCCACAACCACCACCCAAGCAAGACCTTGCAGGTGGGTGGCTGCAACCGCGTGCCTCCCTGTAGGGGCACTGGTTGTTACTATTTGTAGACCTGGCTGGAAAAATTCCTGCAAAGCAGTTTTACATGTTTCTTCTTGTTCTCTTTTGCCAGTTTGCCACAATGGCCAGGTGGTTGCCCTCCTTGTAGACCCTGTTGAAATGTCTGGGAGGAAAAAGGGGAAGAGTTTGCTTGCAGTATATTCCCTGCTCCTTCCAGCTGCTACTTACGGGGTGTGGCAATGCCTTGAGGTTCCTCTAGGAGACGTATGTGGAGCTAGGGTTATTGCAATGGAAAAACCTTCACAAATTTTGCAAAAAGCCTGGATTTCTTCACTGTGCTTCTTGTGAACAACTTGTGCTGTTACTCCTTGTGTTTTTTCCAGCTGGAAGAACAGGGTGGTGCCACAGATATTTTCGTTCTTGTTGACTCCTAGGCTAGAGGCACAATTGTCAGCATGTGGGGAAGGCAAGCAGTAATGTGTAATCTTTCAAAAGCATCTCTCTTCTTTATTTCAGAGTCTCCTGAAATTGGGCCGTCAGTTGTAGTTCACACGACTGTGACATTTGGAAGCGAGCACCTGGATTCAGACCCTGCAGAGGTGCAGCAGTTAATTCTCAGTCACCTGGAGAGGATTGTGCCATCCCTACCTAAACCAGCCAGCATCAAGTTTCAGAAATGGAGATACTCTCAGGTACTCTGTGGTGGGATCAGTCAGCTGGGAAGATGCTGCTGGGGCAATGCCATAGTACAGACTCCCTGTGTATCGCAAGAAACAGGACATCATATGACCCAGTGGTTTTCATCCTTGGGTAGCAAGAGGAAAGGGGATAGTTGCTCGATATCCTTAATACATTCCTCCACGTAGCCATGAGCAGCATCCAAGGCTGGCCAACAACAGCCAGATCATTTCTAGTCATCTTTTTATGTAGTGAACGTGGCTCAGTGGTAAGTTATGCGGCACTGGTAAGTAGGGACAGGAGCAGTGCACAGGAAGGAAGTAAATCCCACATGCTTCAGTGGGATTTTTGCTGGTATTCAGAAATATGACTCAATCTGTCTCTTCTGTATCCAAAAGTATGTGATATTATTAGCAAAATTCCCACCCTACCACAGAGTAGCGGAAGTCCTTGCGTTCAGATGTACTAATAGTTATTATTTGATTTGGCCCAGTTCAATTTAACAGTATGTTATGCAAAAAATATTTTAAAGTAAACTACCTAAAGGTAATAATAGCAAAATGTGTATATTTTACAGACTTCTTTTAAAAATCCAAGGAAATTGTTGGCAATTTCCTAAAGTAGTGGAGTGTATCTACATGTTTACCCAAAGCCTCTTAAGTTAAATTACATTGGTGAAATTGAATGTGGAAGTTGATGCAAAATATTTACTTAAAGCAGTCCCCTAAAAATTTTTCCTTTTATGAAGTCTGGAAAAGTTACTGTAGATGACTGTTGGGAAGTCTGCTCCTACCCCTTGATCTGCATCCAATTCAGGAACCTGGTCTCATTAGTACAAAGTTTATTTTTCTGCAAGTTATTGGTAGTTTGGAAATCACTTCCCAGTGCATAGTATTTGTTCTCAGTTGTTGTATAAAAATGACCTTAACATAGGTTTTAATGTTTCAGATGACTCATACAAAAATCATGGTATGTTTTATATGTTCCTCTTTATCAGTTCAGGGGTTTTTTTGCTAGTAACAGTATCTCTGTACAGTCATCACTGTTAAGGCATCCTTTTCTGGTTGTGACTTCTGGTCTGTTCTTCTGTGTTGTCTGTTATCTTTCTGCTTCAAACTGCTTGCAAGCACAAGAGCTGCAGGTGGTAGGGAGGAGAAGAACTGGATCTATCTCCAACAGACAGACATTTGGTTAATCAACTCTGGAAAGGGCTCCCAAAACAAAGAAAGAAGTATTTTTAAACATAATTAATACACCCTAGATACTGCTGCTATCACAGAGCTCTGTCATAAAATTTGTCAAATTCAGCTACTTTGTTTATGTGTACAAGGCAAGGGCTTAATATACCTTTTCCTTGCACTACTCACACTTTTAGCATAGTGTCAAAGGTGACACATAAACATATGCATCATATATGGCCCATTCTGATTTATTTCACCATGAAAACATGGGTAAAGACAAGAATGGCAGTTAATTTCTTACTACTGAATAAAAAAAAAGTCTCGTTTGCATTCTACCATACAACTATGCTTTTTGAATCCTGGCAAAATTATGGCCATACACAATTTCTTATAACCTTGTACCTATTGCTTCATCTTTTAGAGGTAGCTGGAACAGTGACTGTAGGAATGAACTCTTATTTTCCACAATTGCTTCAAAATTGTTGTCTTCCTAAATCAGTAGGTGTGTGTCCTGTTTCCCCTATTTAAAAATTACATTCAGACATCATACTGCTGGATGATGCTCTATTATTTTCTCAAACCACTGTAGAATTTCCAGCTCTTCCTGCTTTCTTCTCCTGCCTCTGTTGCCTGCTATTGACCATGCTGCTACTAACTAAAACCACCAACTTCAGCAGCTGCTTGTGCTTTATGGCTGTGTCACTGGAGGAATTAGCACCAGTCTTTAATTTGGTGGATGAATGTCAATATGTCTTAGATTGCAAATAAGTCAGTGAAGGTCAGATCTGTTATCTCAATAAAGAGATCCCTATTGCCACCCTATAAAACAATCACTACCTAAATTATCTGGGACAGAGCTCCCTGTTTCTCTTAAAGCTATCTTTACTTTCAATTATAATAAGCTGTTGCCACAGAAGCAAAGGGCACTGATAAGATGGGTGCATCTTTCCCCTGACTCTTTTAGATGGGATTTATCCTACTTGTTAATTAAATCCAGCTGTAACATCCTTCACGTGGCCAAACGCAATCCTGGGATTAAAATTCAGACATAACAATTATCCATGGCGGATGAGGGATTAGGACTTCTAAAATTCTACTGACACTACTTAGCAGCACAGATGCAATTCTGGATCCCCGGCTTTAATTACAGTAAGACACTACTAGCATTCAGAGCCAACAGCTTCCCAGCCCGTCAGGTCCCTTTGACAGAGTCACTTTATATGTATAAGGGATACTGGGAAAACACAGAATCGTAGAAATTGGACCTCTTCAGAGGGGACCTCAGAAGGACCTCTTCAGCTCTATAGTCCAGCCTGTTGCTCAAAGGAGAACTATTGCCAGCACTAGCTGACCTCGACCATGGCTTAGTCTAGCTGAGTCTTAAAGTCTTCAAGGATGGAGATCTAACAGGCTGTGCCATATAGCCGAGAGTAATTTGGAGTTTATGTTGGACATCACCTTCAGAAGAACTTGAAGAAGGGGCAGAATCATTCCTTTCCCCAGTCACTATGTCTAGAGTGAGGGCCTTTACTACACTGAGCACATGATCTTGCCATACAGGTGAAAACATGCAGGCTGAGATGTGAAAATATTGATCCTGTGATCAGTATGACAAACCAGAAGCTGTTTGGTACAGCCAGCATCAAGTAAGTGCTGGGTAGTCAAGAAGGAAGGACACTCAAAAAGCCTTTTTCTGCTAAACCTTTCTTCATTGTTTATTCTCAGTGACCTCAATCTGTAAGAAAAATTGAGGAATAAATTAAGTACTGACCTAAAGTTAGTCTGAGAAAGACAATCTCTGGCTGGATTTACCATACATGGCTAGACTCTTCTGTTAAGCTAAATAATGGAGAATTGGTCGCAACTGGCTACAAATTCATTTCAGATAATTACCTCTTCATACAGATGCTAACATGCTGGTAACACAAAATGCAGCCAGTAACATAAATGTGGGCGTTTTGCAGCTGATCCATACTTGGAAATGATATATAACAGCACGCAGTGGCTAGCTGAATGTACATTTGAATCGGTGGAAAAATTCCTTGTACTGAACAAGATGACTTGGACTTTAGGTCTTGTTCATGTACACTGACAGTTGCACGATGGGATACAGTAACAGTTTACTGCACAGGAATCCAAATCATATCTGTGGACCAAAAGATATGTTTGAATCCAAACCATATCTTTGGACCAAAGGCAGAAAGTCAAGAAATGATTGAAAGAAAATTGTACTGTCTGTATCATGCTTTATGATCTCTATGGTTTGATCTCTATTGCTGGTCTACTGCTGTGCTTCTCTTTTCCCCCCCTCTCTCTCTCTGCCTTTCTAGATATTTTTTCCTTTTTCAACATTTCATCCTTATGGGTCTTGTTTAGTCATTACTTTTCTTGGACTATTTCCTCCCACCTTCCTTCTCCGATCACTTCATCATCAAGCTGTCCTGCATCTTCTTATCTTTTTTATCCCTTCTGCCTGAACCTGCCTTGCCCTCACATTTACATTTAGGCCAGTGCTGCTGCTGCTGCTGCCTTACCTCTGTTCTGAGATTCACCGGTGCTGCTCTGGGATGCACTGATTTAGTACAACATAGACAACTCAGCCTTTGTACGTAGGTTTGAAATGGGCTACAATGTGTAACACAGCCAAGTGTGGTAAAAACACAAATGCTGCATGCTTTTACTCTGCCATTTGACACGCATTGGTGTTTGTCATAAAGTACAATATCAAAAAGAGGTCTTGTTCTCCCCATGAGTTCCAGGTAGCTTCAGGTACTGTCCAAAGCAAAGTCCATTCACTTTTAGAAATGTTACACAGAACTGCTCAAATTTAATTGAGGGTATAGTGCCAGGAAAATTGTATTTAAATGAAAAATTATATTTAAAATTAATACAATGCATACATTGAGAATGACATTAAATATTTATCAAAGCAACCTCAGAACTTGTCCCATGCTACCTACAAAGTGTTGATTGTATCTCTAGCAGCGTCTAAAAATTGTTGTGCTACTCAGATGAAAAAGGAGACCAGCGTAGCAGAGCTGGAGGCAGGGTGGGTTGTCCCAAGGCTGTATGTATGCTCGCACAGGGTTATCATGACAGTTGTTACTCTGAAGTCCACCTCACTTCCTGTCCAGGAATGTCACCCTGGTCAACCCAGTTGTGTTGCAGGCTGTCTTGGAAATGGCAGGCTCCCTTTCCTTTGTTGAACAGTTACGTAGCCGGGGGTTTTTGCAAGCCCACCTTTACTCATGTGAGATCATGCATCTTCATACCTTTTGGCTTAGAGATCTCCACGCCTTCTCTATCCAGGGTCAGGCAATTAATTTCTGCTAAGATGGACTGAGAATAAGACAGGACAGGGCTGTAAAGTTTCTAAATTTCCACAGAGCTGAAAGCTTTATTCTAATTATTTAACTCCAGAAAATAAATACTTTACTGTGGTACTTTGATTGTTAATGCTTGGACCTATGATCTGGGATGGGAGGGGTGCTTCATGTGAAGGTGTGTTTCTCAGGAATATGGACCTTTCTGGCGTGAAATTCAGGTAAATAAAATAATTTCTTTTCCATCTCCCTGTATGCTTTTGTCTTTCAGGTTACAAAAGCTATGCCCGATTGTCTGGGACAAATGATCCTTCATACTCAACCTCTCCTGATTTGTGGGGGCGATGGATTTACTCATTCCAACTTTGATGGCTGCATAGATTCTGCTATGAGTCTTGCAGAGGCTGTGAAGTCTCATTTATAGCAATTTCAAAGTCAGCTGCTAAACTTAGTCTAGATTTATGATGAATTTTACTATGATGGATTGAATTCTAGTTTAGTGTTAACATCACTGGCCTCTATCTTGCAAAAATAAATAAAGGAAGATCTATTGGTGTGCTGTAATAATTATTGGGATGGAATTGAATTGTATTTTCCAGGATCTGTGCTGTGAGTGGTTACTTTGCTTGAAGTAAAGCCTTTTCTGGCTCTAGTCAGAGGCACTGAGCGCCAGCAATCTTGCCAGGTCTCCTGATACTTTTACAGCCCATGAAGAGTATGTCAAGGAGAGGAGCCCAACTTGAAGCAGCACAAAAACCCATGGAGCTGCAGAGTTTACTCCTCCTCTGAGCAGTTGGAACCCTGGAAGTGACAGAAGGAACATGCACAACTGATGCACAGAGCTTTAAATGACACATACATGTGGTCATTTCTTCTGCTGCAGATCAGTCCTGGTCATGGTTATTGTGTTGGCCATCAGTCAGTGATGGGGCATACCTTGCTATGCTTCTCAAGTTGGACGGGCTATGCAAGGTCTAACCATACCAACTCAAGGTCTAGCCATATTGACTCAAGGTGTAGCCATGTCTCCAGGCATGGGCAACTTTTAAGTGAGGGATAGTAGTTGTCTGCTGACCAGCTTGCTTAACCCACAGTTTTCTGTGGGCTGCAGATTGCTGGAAGAGCTCGTTTAAGAGCTTGGTGACGTTACTGGCAGTGATGTGCCACTGAACATGGTACGGTCTAAGCAGCATCGGCCCAGCTGTGCTCATAAAGCAAAGAGGGTGAAAGAGGTGTAAAAGAAAGAAGGTGAAAGAGAAGGTGTGCATGTTTCTAGCGCTCTCACAGCAATAGGGGTGCTATTCCAAAGTCATCTTGGGAATAAACCTTGACATCTGGGCTGTAACATGAGTTTAACACAATAAAGTGGACTGGCCAGGAAAGTGGATGCACTTAAAATAGTACGGTATTTGCCAGGTTAGAGAGTCACCCGTGCCTCATGGCTCTCTGCTGGTCCAGGGTCCCCGGAACAAGGAGCAGCCCTTTCCTCCTTCCAGGTGATGGAGGAATCAGGGTAGGAGCAGCCAATACAGAAGGTGGTTTAGCTGCTTTGCCTGGCAAATGCCAAGAGGAAGGAGGGAAAAGAATTTATCTAAGTGTGGTCTGTGGCAGTGAGTTAATAATAAAACTGTGCTGACATTTCAGGCTTAGGGTTACATCACCACCACCATAAAAACTCATTTAAAGTAAACAGCCAGCCTGAAAGTGAGGTGAGTTCTCGACAGCTCTATACTTTATTTTGGCAGAACAGGTGTAGAAATAGAGGGACAGGTCCAGGGAAGGATATAAATACACATGTGAGTGAATGATCAAGGAATCTGATTTGAAATACTAAAAAAATAAACTGGAAGTATAATTTGTTGAAAATACTACCTGTCACAGTTTCAAGTATTTCTAAGCTACTAAACTGTGTTTCTGTGAAGTCAATTTTGAAATTACTCAGAAATTAACCCAGAAATCATTTATTTATTCTAAATTTGATTTTATCTTGCCCTTCCTCTTAAACCATGTGTGTCACAAGTTTAGTACCTCTCTCTACTACAGCACTAAAACTAACAAAGTGCTATTTTCAGCAGACAGGATTTTAACCAATTTTAAGCAGAGAAGTACAGTTCAGCCTCTTTTTCTTATACCCCTGCATTTCACAAAAATCCAACGTCCTGTATTCACAGTGACTGAACATTGCATTTGACCGTTTCTAATGCAGTATTTTAAGTGACACGAAGCACTTTAAAACTTAAGTTAATTTAAAAAACATTTTTGAAGGGTATTTCATGATACCATGTGGTTTTATTGATTTTTTCCTTCTTTCCATGAAGTCCTCGAGTTTAAAACTAGGTGTTGTTATTGTGTCTGAACCAACCAGCTCCAAACCCGCAGCTTTCAATCACTGTGTTGTGCAGAAACGGGGAAGATTGGTGGTCATGTATGTGTACAAATCTTTTACTATGGTGTGTGATCTCTTATCTTCCACAAGTCAAGGTAGCCATGAAGAGCCACACGGTCATGGAATAAATCTAATCTGGTGAGGTATTTAGTATTGGCTTGATTTAGCACGAGCTCAAAAGCAACCAAAGTCCCAGATGAAATAAGGTTTTGTGTTGCTGTGGTGGGTTCACCCTGGCTGGATGCCACGTGCCCACCAAAGCCGCTCTATCACTCTCCACCCCTCAGCTGAACAGAGGAGAGAAAATATAACAAAAAGCTTGTGGGTCGAGATAGGGACAGGGGATACCATTCACCAATCACTGTCACAGGCAAAACAGACTTGGCTTGAGGAATTCAGTTTAATTTATTGCCAATTGGATCAGAGTAGGATAATGAAAAATAAAACCAAATCTTAAAAACACCTTCCCCCCACCCCTCCCTTCTTCCCGGGCTCAGCTTCACTCCCAATTTCTCTACCTCTTCCCCTCAAGCAGCGCAGGGGGACGGGAAAGGGGGGTTGTGGTCAGTCCATCACATGTCGTCTCTGCCGATCCTTCCTCCTCAAGGGGAGGACTCCTCATGCTCTTCCCCTGCTCCAGCGTGGGTTCCCTCCCACAGCAGACAGTCCTCCATGAACTGCTCCAGCGTGGGTCCCTCCTACAGGGTGCAGCCCCTCAGGAACAGACTGCTCCAGTGTGGGTCCCCTGCGGGGTCCCAAGTCCTGCCAGCAAACCTGCTCCAGCCTGGGCTCCTCTCTCTCCAAGGGGCCACAGCTCCTGGCCAGGACCCTGCTCCAGGCTTCCCATGGGGTCACAGCTCTCTTCAGGCACATCCCCTGCTCCAGCGTGGGCTCCTCCCCGGGTGCAGGTGGATCTCTGCTCCCCTGGGGGCCTCCATGGGTGCAGGGGCACAGCTGCCTCACCATGGGCTGCACCAGGGCTGCAGGGGAATCTCTGCTCCAGTGCCTGGAGCACCTCCTGCCCTCCTTCTTCACTGACTTTGGTGTCTGTGGAGTTTTTCTCTCCCCTATTCTCGCTCCTCTCTCTGGCTGCAGTTGCACAGGTTTTTTCCCCCTTCTTAAATATGTTATCCCAGAGGCGCTGCCACCGTCGCTGATGGGCTCGGCCTTGGCCAGTGGCGGGGCCCCGCTCGGGCTGTCTGGCATTGGCTCTATCGGACGTATGGGGTCCATCTTGGAGCCAGCTGGCATCGGCTCTATCGGACATGGGGGAAGGTTCTAGCAGCTTCTCACAGAAGCCACCCCTATAGCCCCCCTGGCTCCCAAAACCTTGCCACACAAGCCCAGTACAGTTGCAGTGTTGGAAAACCTTAATCAAAGAGCCCTACCCCATGGAGGATGGCATACAAAAGCAACTGAGCCCCATTTTTCATACGTGCTCCTCGGCTTCCACCCAGGCCTGGCCATCCTGTGGGAGTTGGTCCCCAAGGGAGTAACATGCTGAACCATACAAAAGGGTTTTCTGCTGGCTTATCAGTTCCCCTGGAAGATGTCACCATGGCAGGCGGGTCAACTGTTGCTGGACCCGTGGTGATGGTTTCTGGGGACCCATCCCACCAGTCTGCCTTCATCCAAGCTCTGCCTTAGTGCACAGGGAAGGATGTCGGTCCTTTTTCTGCAGGGGTGAAGGAGCAGGCTGTAACTGTAGGGGATCTTTCCAGACTCTTCACTTGTGCTGTTTTCCTCATCTTCACTCTTTGTTTTCTGCTCCCTTCTTCAAAGATGGATTTGGCATTAAAACACGCTAAAATTTGCACTTCCTTCCCCTTCCTTCGATATTGAATGGAAGCAAGCCAAACCACCAAAAATCCAAATAAAGACCAATCCTGAAAGCATGTGACATGCAGGAGACTGAAAATACGGCATCTTTAAATTAACGCTGTGTTGTTCCTCTCTCCGCCTTGCAAACAGGCGTGCTCCGAAGAGTTGTGATGCTCTCACAGGGGCCTTATATCAGCAGCAGCCTTCAATGCCACAAGTGGCAGATAAGTGGAGATGTTTCTGACCCCATCCTTTCAGCAATCTTATGGCTTTGGTCATTATGAGACCTCAAAATACCTGATAATAAGCAAATCACAGATTCAGAGATTTTTCGAATCATGAGCTTTTTTGATTCAGAGGTTTTTGAACGTGAATCACAGGTAGTCTCAAATTTCTCCCATCCTTCCCCATATCATGACAATCTATCAAAATGCCTCTTTCCTATAGCTTCCTCCCAGATTAAGATCATTTAAACAAAAACGACTTGTTTTTTTAAGGTGGAGTAGAAAAGTTCATGGACATGTTCCTCTGGATACGCTCCAGGCAGCGGGTACTTACGGTTCTCTGTGGCGATATCTCATTTTCTAGATGTAAGCAGGGACACGATGGTATTAACTTTCCCATGCAAGGCGGGTAACGAGTGGTGGTATTTCAAAGAGGTCACTGTATCCAAAAGGATGGCAACAGAAGAGACTTGTCTGGTTGATTTCCTGGGCTTTTCCCTGGAAGGACGTAATTTTCAATTAACTGGGAGATCCATCATTTACAGCCCATATTTCCTTGTTCCCAGACAAGGGTGACGGCTGTGTCTGGTGTCCTATATGTCACGAGCCACAGCTAATGCCTGAAGTTGAATTAAAGCATTTCAGCTCTCAGAGGACCATGTTATTGTCTTCCCCATCACAAGGAAAGATGGGGCCATAAATGCTCAAAGCCTTTTAACTCACAGTTGTGTTAACTTCCACCCAGTGAACATCACTTTGCAGGGCTGGCCCATGGCATCTAGTGCAGTCACTTCTTTTACAATATATTCAGCTGCATGGGATGCATTTTGCTGATCTCTGAGCGTTTAACTGTGCCTTTAGGTCTCTAACAGGAATTCTTTCTTGTTAGGTACTGTCCCACCAACAGCTGCCTCAGCTGTGTGTTTCACCAGGAAAGATTTTATATTATTGGCTAAATAGCAGACCAGGTGTTGGCAGAAAGGCTTGGTAGACACAACTACACCTTGACGTCTCCTGCTAACAGAAGTGTTGTGAGACCTGTGGCTCAGCCAGGTGTGACCCACCCAACATTTGCCTCGTTAGCACCATGCAAGGCAATTTTTGCATCACAACTGTTGTGCGGTCCTCAA